CCCGGCAGGGGTCCCGGGGTCCGGCCCCGCGATGCCGCCGCCGCCGCTGCCCGCCTGGCTCTGCCTGACCGCGCTGCTGCTCCTGTCCCCCCCGGGGGCTGCCCGTCCCTGTCCCCCTCCCTGCCGTTGTCCCCTGAGAGGTACCATCCTCTGCCGGGAGCCCGGTACCGTCAGCAGGATGGCCCCGCTGCTGGCAACCGGCGGCTTCACCGACGTGTGAGTGGGGCTGGGGGACAGGGCGGTGGGGCTGGGGGTCGAGGTGATGGAGATGAGGGTGATGAAGCTCAGGGATGGGGGTGATGAAGCTCGGGGACCAGGCGGAGGGTCTGGGGGTGATGGAACTGGGGGACAGGGGGGTGAAGAAGGGGATGACGGAGCTTGGGGATCGGGTGGAGGGTCTGGGAGTGATGGGGCTGGGGGATGCGGTGGTGGGGCTGGGAGTCGAGGTGATGGAGCTGAGGGTGATGAAGCTCGGGGATGGGGGTGATGAAGCTTGGGGACCAGGCGGAGGAGCTGGGAGTGATGGAGATGAGGGTGATGAAGTTCGGGGATGAGGGTGATGAAGCTCGGGGACCAGTCAGAGGGTCTGGGGGTGATGGAACTGGGAGGCAGGGCGGTGGAGAAGGGGATGACGGAGCTCGGGGACCCGGTGGAGGGGCTGGGAGTGATGGGGCTGAGAGATATGGTGGTGGGGCTGAGGGTGATGAAGCTCAGGCATGGGGGTGATGAAGCTTGGGGACCAGGCGGAGGAGCTGGGAGTGATGGAGATGAGGGTAATGAAGCTCAGGGACCAGTCCGAGGGTCTGGGGTGATGGAACTGGGGGACAGGGCGGCGGAGAAGGGGATGACAGAGCTTGGGGAGCGGGTGGAGGGTCTGGGAGTGATGGGGCTGAGAGATATGGTGGTGGGGCTGAGGGTGATGAAGCTCAGGGATGGGGGTGATGAAGCTTGGGGACCAGGCGGAGGAGCTGGGGGTGACGGAGATGAGGGTGACGAAGCTTGGGAATAGGGATGATGGGGCTGGGGAACAGGGTGGTGGAGAAGGAGATGACGGAGCTTGGGGACTGGGTGGAGGGGCTGGGAGTGATGGGGCTGGGGGATGAAGTGATGGGGCTGGGGGA